AATTCCCCAGCACTGTTCCCATTCCCCCAATTCCCCAATAAAAATCTTTAAAAAAAAACCAAAAAACCTTGCTAAATATATTGGAAAATGTTTCTTAGATAATTTCAATTCCAAACTCAAATAATTTGAGAAACAATGCTAAAATGAAACTAATAAAATTTGTTAAGCTAAAATGTCAAACTCATACATTTAACATTTAAAAGGTAGCTAATTTATTTCTGCCTTTAGAAATAATTTCCTGGAAAAAAGTATGATATACTTTTACGTATTTTAATAAATATATAAAATGCATATATAATATATGCATCTATATTAAGGGAAAATCAATTTAAATTTATTCTTCTTAGAAGATGAGAAATTTATACACTGACAGAGAAGAATTTCTAGTACAAGGGGGTCATCTGAAAGATGGCAGGTGAATTTTTAAAAATAGAAATATTATAGTCACTTTTTGACATATTTTTAAAATATTTCAGAAACTTCTACTTACTGCGTGTTTAAGTGTGCACATCTCATAAAGGACACATCCTAGAGCCCAAATGTCACTAGAAAAGAGAATTAAAAAAAATTTTTGTAAGTATCAGATTTAAATTTTTTTTCATTTAAAGGAAACAATACTATCATGAAAATTCTTTGCAAAAATGTTTCAAAACATGTCCTTTAAAACTTAAAATTACAGGGCCGGCCGAGTGGCGCACTGGTTTAAGAGTTGGCTTGGGATGCTGACTCTGAGCAGCAGGGACCCAGTTCGGATCCCACATTAGGGCCAGTGACACTGCGCCCTCTACAGCTAAGATGGTGAATAACAGCTCAACCTGGAGCTGGGCTGCTGTGAGTCGCTGGCGATAGCATAGGCTGCAGCCCCTGCTGCAGTGGGCTGCCATAAGCTACTGTGAGCAGCCGGCAACCGGTATGAGCTGCCAAGAGTCACCGTGAGCAGCCGTCCAGAGGCCGGCGACGGATCTGCCTCACCTGGGAAGAAGAGTACAATGATAATACCAACATGAACCAGTGAAGCAATGTCCTCCACAACTAGACTGAAGAACCAAAGGACAGCAACTTGACTGTTTCCCTTCCCCGATTCCCCAAAGCTGTTCCCCTCCCCTAATCCCCCAATAAAATCTTAAAAAACAAAACAAAACAAAACAAAAAACTTAAAATTACAACCATAGCCAAATGACAAAAGCAGCTACCTCCAATTAGAAAACATAATGGTTACCCAAGCAATTATTAGTCTCATTAAAAAAATTTAATATTTAAAAAACAAAATCAGTAAATTTCATGGATAGTCCATTAAGTTATTTTATTTCACAAAAGTCAAACTGCTTTACTCAATTATTTGCAAAATCCCACAATTTTTAAAAATATAAGTGCAAAATACTGCTTTAATACAGAAAATATTAATTTACTAAAATTATATCTCAAATAAACCTGTGATAGTCAAACGAAACATTATGTATGAATAAATACAATTTATTTTATTCTAATTTAAAGACTTAGTTAAACTACGCTCTTTATATATACTTTATTTTAAAATACAGATATTTTTATAATAAAAATAAATACCTCTATTTTTAAAAGGAAATAAAAGCTCATAGTTCATAGTTATAGTGGTCCTTAGAAGTCAACAAAAGCAAAAACCATTGCTCCTGAAAGTTGAACTTATTGGAAAAGAATTAAACCTATTATCCAAATCCCAAGGTTCTCCATGTTGTTGCAGATCGCAAGATTTCATTCTTTTTTATGGCTAATATTCCTGTGTATGTGTGTGTGTCTGTGTACATACATACATACATACATAAACACCAGTGGTGCCAAAAAAAAAATGTATACAAGTGGGGCCAGCCGAGTGGCTCAGTTGGTTAAGAGCT